GAGGCCTCTGTCTTTATCAGCCACGTGTTGGCAGCTTTCCTGGACAAAAGTATTTTCTTATGGGATTTCAAATGAAGACCCATATGTAGAACAAACAGGTGGGTCCTAGAGCAGATCAAGTCTGAAATTTCGCTGGAGGCAAAAATGACTAAAATGAGGCTGTCATACCTTGGTCACATCATGAGAAGACATGGGTCATTAGAAAGGACGATACTGTTGGGAAAGGGGGAAGGAATTAGGAAGAGAGAAGACCATATGCTAGATGGATGGACTCAATTAAGGAGGTCACGGATATGAATCTGCAGAAACTAGGACAAGTGGTGGAGAATAGGGTGTCTTGGAGATGTCTCATTCATAGGGTCGTCATGAGTCTAGATTGACTTGGGGGTGGTTAACAACAACAACAACAACAACAACAACAATGTAAATCATCATTATTTCTCCATACATAACAGAAAGATATAATTAGCTATGTCTACTCGTTTCATATCCCTATATATAGCCCTGGGAGGATAATGAAAGGCTAGTGATACACACTTTTGGTGTTGGGTTGCAATTGTGTATTTTCTGTGAACAATATAATAAACCTTGAGTTTTGGAAGAATATTTCCTTCTAGATGATCATACTGTAGCTTTGTATGCCTCCCTGCAACAGGCAAGGTGAAGGCTGGTAAAAGAAAGGGGGAAAAAACAAACATCCCACATTGCATTTTGGAGAAAGTTTTCAAGTGGTCTCTGTTGTTGTTTTTAAAGCAAAGCAAAAGCAGCTTCATTTATATACAGCTTCATATCGCGCATGGGATGTCTAAGCAGTTTACAACTGTGAGCTGATTGCTCCCCAACAATCTGGGTACTCATTTTAGCGACCTCGGAAGGATGCAGGCCTGAGTCGAGCCTCAGCCCTGGCTGGTATTGAACTCGAAACCTTGTGGTCTATGAGTAAGTGGCTGCAGTTTTTATGTGCCTTCAAGTAATTTCTGCCATAAGGTGACCCTATTATCGGGTTTTCTTGGCAGGTTTCTTCAGAGGGGGCTTGCCATTTCCATCCTTTGAGGCTTAGAGAATGTGACTTGCCCAGGGTCACGCAGTGGGTTTCATGGCCAAGCAGGGATACAAACTCTGGTGTCAGAGTCATAGGCTAATGCTCAAAGCACCATGCTGGCTCTCAAGGTTCAACATGTTTTTTGTTTAGCTATGAAAGGCTTACTTGATCTGGTTTGTCATTTCTCATGTGCTTATTGTTAGCTTTGAATGAAAAATTTACTGAAACATGCTCTTCCTTTGTGGAGGTTAGGAACCTATCCCTATTTTTACCATGCTATTTCCATGGTACCAAATTTTCTGCTAAAGAAGTAATTCACACGGATACATCTATTCCCATAACAGATATACCTGTACTTTATACAGGTAGCAGTTCAATACATGCAGCTTCACCAGACTGAGATGGTGAACAAAAACAGACCTCCTTGCTATCATCTCACCTAGCAACTTCACACAGATGTTAGAGAGGGGGCTGAGACAGAACCTTCCCTTTTCAGATATATAAAAACTGCTGTGATATGATTAGTTCATAATTTGGGAAGTGATACACTTGTTTCTCACCTGATGCCTATGTAGTAATGATGGTAAAATGACATTCTATTTATCATCCCCAATCATCATTCCCATAAGATACATTCTGAATGGTACCGTACATATCCCATAGTCCCTGGCCCAAAGGAGGGGGGAAGCATAAATTATTTTGCTGGAGGAAAAGAGTATATAATCTCTCTAGCTACAAAAAAAGAAGAAAACTGCTCAAAATGCATTGAATATCACAGTCTTTTCAAACTAAACTTAGCAATTCACATTGAGAAGTATCTTATTAAAGTCCAGTAATAAACTGCTGTGGAAGAGAGATAAAAATGGAATGCATTTTATTTCAAAAGTATTTGAAGGGATGAGGGAGGAGGAAAGAAATCTCCATCATCTCTGCCATTACATTAATGTTTTTGCATGTGTATGTTGCCTCAGCTTCAGTTATTATGAAGCAATGTTGAAATGGGCTGAATAATACAGCTGCATTTCATCCAGTGACAAATTTCAATACCCATGTTCTTGTTATTTCAGAACAGTGCTCGAGATTTTTTTGATAGCCACAGCTTATTTCCAGTCAAGCACCATAGGATTTCCTAGGTTGTACCAAAATTAGGTACAAGCAAGATTTCTACTTCTAAAAGTCTCATCTTTCTTTGGATTGGGCCATGGGTAATCTTCCTGAGGTTAACCAAGAGCTGAGAATTAGGATTTGTGGGACTAGCCAGGAAGCAAGAGTAAATCAAGGGTCAGGGCTGGAGTGGGGGGCAGCTTGAACATGACTAGTTATAAATAACAACACATTTAAAATCAATTCCTTTTTCTAATAATGAGGGTAACAAACTCATCTTTTGGGTTGCGTATATAATTTCTTTTTTCAAGTCAAGCTCAGTGACCACTGTGGGAATTACCCCAATGTTAATATATTTTTATTGTTGTTGTGTGCCTTTATATCATTTCTGACTTATTGAAATCTTTGGGTGAACTTTTCATGGAGTTTTGTAGGCAGGATTTGTTCAGAGCAGGTCTGTCATTGCCTTCCCCTGAGGCTGAGAGCATGCGACGTGCCCAAGGTCATGATTTATTGGTTTCATGACCAAGCAGGGAATCAAACCCTGGTCTCCAGAATCACAGTCCAATACTCAGTCCACTGTGCCACACTGGCTCTCACATTAGTATGTATTAAGCTTATCGCACAACACTTAAGAAACAGCAACAGAACACAAGGAAATGGAACGGAGCAAAAACACATTTTACTGCATGGGAGAATGCCACTGATGTCTCCAGGAGTCCCCAATCCGTTTCCCAGCCGTTCCTGGCAGCCGATTTTGAAGAACGATTTTGAATCGTCCTTCAAAAATCGGCTGCCAGGAATGACTGGGAATGCCTTGGAGACTCCCGGTGGCATCGGGCATTCTCCTGTGCAGTAAAATGCATTTTTGCTCCGTTCTGTTCCCTTGCGTTCCGTTCCGTTCTCGTTCTTCAAAGTGCCGTGCGATAAGCTTATAGTGCATACAAGAACCTTAACCATTAGTAAAGGCTGATATAAGATCTTCTGGATTTTTTTTTTTCTCACAGTGATGGATACAAATTTCCACTCACCCATGCAGTTCTTAGACTTCTAAAAATCATGAAGTGGGGGGAGGGAGAAAAAAAAAGAAAAGAGATGGCTAGGATGGGACAAGGTGAAAGAAACAACTGAGAGAAATGGGTGGGAAGTAGGGAAAAGGGGAGAATAGAAACAAAAAGAGGGGGAGAATGGAACAGAGAAAGGAAGGAGAATGCAGAATTGAATAGGCTGGTGAGTGTGAATGGGTATTGTGAAGTGACCAAAAAAAAAAAAAAATACGGGCGGAAGACCTAACCCACATATCTTTGGCTCAAATTCTGTCTACACACAGGCTGGAAAAGGTACCATGAAGTGAGTGTGAAACTGTTACTTTCTCCATCATCTTTAAAGAAAGAACAGAAAGTTTGGTATCATCCTAAACAAAATGTTACAGAGTCCCACAATTAGGTCCTGTAAACAGATTGTCATTGAAAATCCTGCACGGGTGCTGTTGAGCCTCCTAACAGCCTGTTTCCTTACCATATCCACAGGGACTGCCTGAGACATTTTAAAATCTTGAGTTATAACTGTTTGCTATCTGAGAAGAAAGGAAGGCAAGATGGCACATCCCCTCTTCCATGTACAAAATTCTTTCATTAAGTCTTACTACAAAACTGGGAATGGAACATTCTCCTGCACCATAGCTGAAGACAGGCTGGGTTGGTGAGGTAGGAAGCACAGTGAAGGCTATGTAATACATGTGATTCTGGGCCTTTACCGACTGCCAGAAATAGTGCAGCCTGAGGCCACTTTAACTGTTCTGGCTCAATGCTAAGGAATCATGGGAACTGTAGTTTATTGTGGCACCAGAGGTCTCTGACAGAGAAGGCTCAATGCCTCAAAAAAAAACTACAATTCCCATGATTCCCTAGCACTGAGCCAGGACAATTAAAGTAGTCTCAAGCTGCACTATTTCTGGCAGTCTGTAAAGGCTCTCTGTCTTCCCAATACCTTGCCACCACTTCCAGCATCTAATGTTAAAAGTGGCCGCTTCACTCTTTCCTGGCCCTGCACATCCATGATATGTGTTAAGGGAGAGAACACATGAAACAAGATAACTAGCAATAGGCAATTAACAGAGTCCTCAAAGAAAATATAATTAATATTTCATGCTCAGGGTGGTACTTAACAGATATTTTCATTGACTACAAAACCAGCTAAAATCCTTCTCAGGTTTAAAGCATGTGAAGTTAAATTTTGTGCCTAAACAAATCTAAAATTTTGTGAGAAGTTCAAGGAATAACATGTTTCACAATCAGAGGAAGAAATCCATCTAATTGCTGTGCAATAAACAAGTAAGTTAAAGAGACAAGAGCTGATCAACTACCATTGTGGAAAAGGAGCAAAGAAGAAAAACCTCAACATCTGAAATCTGACACAAATACCCCAACATATTTATATTTAAGACAGTCCCTTGGCCATTTTACTGGCCTCAGTTCCTCAAATTGCATTTAAGGATAAACTGCCCAAAGATAATTTGTGCGTTTGGAGAGATTTATTCAGCTGCAAACTGAAAAGGGAGCCTGTGTGCCAAACTACATATTAAGAGGAATGTGTATTCCCAAGGATTACCATATTTATCGTCCAATAACCAATCACAATACAAAACATGCTAAATATAAGATACTCAGGTGAGGAAATCATGTGCTATTGTAAATAGACATTTTTAACCACTTGATGGCACTCCTCTTCTAGAAAGGGTTTAGTTTGACTTTTAAATGCCTCACAATGTAAGAGGAGTTTTCACACAGCCCAACAAGTCAAACCATATCACATGCATCTACATGTATGTACATGCACACAGCCATGTAGGTGCACTTTTTGAAAATGCTCAGTTTCAGAAGACTGAATCTGGTCGCCAAGTAGGCAATGGCAATCCCTTTCTAGTTACATTCTAATCTAAATTATTCTTGGCCTATTTAAAACTCAGATTGGCTATTCTTTGAAAAAGCCAAAGAACAGACTGTGTAATTTGGTTTGCACAAAATCATTATAACATATACACTGAAATCTGGAAAGCAGCAGAGAGGAAGAGGTTCCACCTGTACCCATCTGGCTTCACTGAGCACACTTTATTCAATGATAAAAAACTGTTTATGACCTTATAGACATGCTTCTGTGCCTTTAACAAGAGTCTGATCTTCAAAAATTACCAGGTGAAGCTTTTCTTGGCATGGAGATACAAATCAAAGCAAAAAGCGTAACCTTCAAGGAACTTGAAGTTCACCACTACACACATTTGTGTTTAGGTTTAAATGCTTCTTTGTCTATGATAACTTTCAGGGTTTAGTTCAGGAATACACTGGGTGATCAATGACACATCACTAAAAGGGAGGACATCTTTGTATATGGTAATTTATACAGTGAGGTGCACATCTGGAAACAAATGTTGTAGTTTAAAAAGAAATATACTGGATACCACCATTTCACTGTGAGCACGTGTTAAAATTAGATGGGCAATTTCAACACTCTCTGAATTCTCCTCTTATGATTTACTACTTTTGAAAGAGAGGACAATCCTCTCTTAAGCAGGCCACCTGATCTCTTTGGAGATATAGGAGGCATCCAGAAGGCAAACAAGCCTTCACCTCCTAGAAGAAGAATATTTAAAGTGGCATCAAAAATGTGTGGACTTACTCTCATTTATTATTCAAGACCATCTGAAATCTACTGTGTTGGAACAGAACCAGATACATATACAAATCCAAGAATTTTGAAAATACAGGGGGAGAAAAAGTCTATAGCTAGATCACTTAGGGCCTTTACAGACTGCCAGAAATAATGCAGCTTGAGACCACTTTAACTACCCTGGCTTGATGCTAGGGAATCATGAGAACTGTAGTTTTTTCTGTGACGTTGAACCTTCTCTGTCAGAGAGCTCTGGTGCCACAATAAACTACAGTTCCCATGATTCCTTAGCACTGAGCCAGGACAGTTAAAGTGGCCTTAAGCTGCATTATTTCTGGCAGCCTGCAAAGGCCCATTCTTACATCTCTTTCCTTGATCGGGATCAATATGATTTTACATTTCTTTCTCTACTTAAAAAAGTTGCAACAAGGGAGAAACTTGGTCTGTTCTAGCATTCGCCCAGCAGCAGCCCCTTTAAAAACACATTTTTCTTTCCTGTATCTGAAGACATTAGAATGTTCAACATAGAGCACATAAAACAACATTCAGAAGTACACCTATTTTTAATCTACAGTCTATTTTCATTTAATCTACAGTCTATCTTGAGACTGAGTCTAAATTGCAGAACTCATGGTGACAATAGGCCTTTGCAGACTGCCAGAAATAGTGCACATTAAATTGAGGCACTGCCCTGGCTCAGTGCTAGGGAATCATGGGAACTGTAATTTATTGTGGCACCAGAGCTCTCTGACAGAGAAGGCTCAATGTCTCAGAAAAAAATATAATTCCCATGACTCCCTAGCACTGAGCCAGGGCAGTGCCTCAATTTAATGTGCACTATTTCTGGCAGTCTGCAAAGGCAGAATGTTTCACTTGGGTTTGGGATTTTCCTGTTCCTTTTTGTACTCTCTAGTTTGATGGAGAATTCTGGATAACTCAGAAGCTTGCACGCTTTCTTGACTGATCTAAATCAGGGCAAAGTCAGACTCATAGGCCACATGTAGTCCTTGTGACCCCTAAGTGTGGTCCTTGGTGCCCCAAAGCCACAGATCCCCCATTTAAAAAAAATCAGTTTGAATTTGGGACAGTTTTTCCCCACAAGCTGCCCAAAATCCAGTTTATTGCCCTAACCCCTGCCCTGTCACCACAAATCTACCCAAAACAGGCCAAAAAGAAGAAGGAGAAGAGGAGAAGGAGGAAGAAAGGAATTGGTTGAAAATTGGCCAAAATGTCAGCCAAAACTGACATAATGGACGTTTTCACACGGGGCTTTAGACGGAGTCATTCCTACCTCCGTCCGGCCCCACTCCGGCTCTGTGCAGGATAAGTTCACACGACGTCGCAGCAAGCCCCGCCCCATCCTGCGCCATCCCTGCGCCATCCCTGCCTCACTCCGGGGTCTTGCTGCGAGTGTTCACACGACGTCGCAGCAAGCCCCGCCCCATCTTGCGCAATCCCTGCGCCATCCCTGCCGCTAGCCGGCTTTAGCCCCATTTTTGTAATTCCTTTTTAAAAGAGGAATTACAGGCGCTTCTGCCGGAGGCAATCAGGAGTCATTCCGGCGGCTGCTGTTTTCGCCGCCGGAATGACTCCTGATGGCTTCCAGGCGGCTTTAGAGCCGCCTGTGTGAAAACGTCCTATGTCACTTTGGGCACTCTGAAATGTGCTACTGTAGCCCACTAGCCAGGCACAGGAAGGAAAAATGGCCCCTTCCCTGTTTGTAATTGCCCACCTGTTTAGCATACCGTACACCCTTCTTGCTGGATATGTGGTTTCATAACTCTGTTGATGGCACTTTACTGGATCATTTTCAATCTGTGAGTATCGATGACGTGGACAAGCTACTTGGAAGGATGAGGAAGACGACTTGCCCCCTCGATCCTTGTCCATCTTGGCTGGTTGCCCAGGGGGGTGGCACGCTGAGGGTG